GTCTATAAGTTTACAGAGAGAGTTCAAAAAAATACACTGAAAGACTCCAATGCTAAAAGCTAAATAAAAAGAAGACAGATTGTATTGTTTTTCATCTCACAATCTTTGGGTCAAATGCAGGATTTTTTTAAACAATTTGAGTTTGTAATAATGAGGAGAATGAGAAAGTGCTTACATTAGCAGAACCTAATCAGCAGAATCTGAAAAACTATATCTAAACTCCTTCATTGAAAGTTTTTATTTGGCAGAACAAAGAAGTTGTTTGTCTCAAGCACAAAAATGCTATTGAGAAGAAAATCAAGCTGGTTTGGAATCTGCAAACTTAGGAATTCTTCTCCTCTGGATTCCATTATATCTGAATCATCTTACTTTTTAAATGGCTACATGATTTGGATTATGACATTTCTGAAGTTATGTAATGGGCAAGAGTCCTCATGAAAAAAATCCCAATGCCAACTTGCTATCATGTTATGACACTGCTGTCCATAAGAGGTAATTATGAGAAGGAAGATAACCTGCCAGTCGTAAGAGTTTTTTTTTAAGCTATGACTTTTTCCATTGATTTTAATATAACATGTATTTGCCTTTCTAAAAGAAGGATTTTTTTCCAGAGGAATTAAGTGTTCAATAATAATCGGTGTGTTTTTTTTCTCCTCTCTAGTGTTCATAATGGCTTCTGGGCTTTTGGTTTACCCTTTTGGTTTCAACTCTGCTACTGTGAAGAGATTCTGTGAGAATTCAGACATCTACTATGCAGGAGACTGCCAGATTGGATGGGGGTATATGCTGGCAATTGTTGGGGTCATGTTGTCTGTCTTTTTACCATTCTTTGCAAAATATGCACCAAAAGAGCACATATCTCCAACTCCAATACCTACTATTTTATAGTATTTTATTACTGTTTAAGAACAGAACATTCCTGTCTACAGGCAATGGGCAGAAATTATTATAGCACTTCCATTTAGCTGTATGGCTAAAGAGAGAAAAAAGGAGATGGGGAAGAGAAGGTCAGATTCACAAAGACCAAAAGTGCATTGATCGTCTTCCGTAAGTATGAGCAGCGAACACTCTGGAATTGAAATAAGATTAATCAGCAGCCTTTATACTGCTCTAAACATATAGTGGCATAATGCCTTAGACAAAAAAAAAAAAAAAATCTGTTTATCCTCAAAACATCTGTCTACCTCCCAGTTTCTTTTGTGTCTCAAGATCGTAAGTCTTTTAAAAGCTTCAATTCACTTTTTATATATTATTAGATGTCAAAACTTTTATGAACCCAATAATTTTAAAATCAATAATGATATTTTGTTACAATTATTTTGATTAGTTGAAAAGCGCCTACTAGTAGCCATGGCCTAAAATTAAGCTTGATATCTAAAAAGAATTGTATACAAGAAAAAAGTTTCTTTTTCATCTATATGTATTAGTAGTACCTGCATATTGTAAGTTGTCGGCACACTTTTTAATACTGATCTAATCTTCATGATTTACAGCCATCTTCATGAAGACCTGCATAAAATTTAGATGACTTTTTTTCAGAGAGAGAGACACCCAACTACTTCCAAAGGCTTCATGATGATTTAATAGTTTAACAACAGGGAAAAAAAATGCTAAGAATTTGTTTTCAGTATTTCTTAAATTATAATTCTAGGTGGACTTTTACAAAATTATTTGAACTATTACAGCTTTAGATTTTGGGTTTTGTTGTCTGTGTTTTAAGGTCGAAAAGAAAAATCTCTGTTTACAAAAATATATGTGCCCGATGGCCCTTGTATGTAGTGATAATACAAGCCAGAATGAACTAGATTCTAATATTTCCATTCCTATTAAAAGCCCCTTATTGTTTAAAAAAAAAAATAGTGAAATGCTACTGGACACAACTAATAAGAATAATCTGATGCCATGTCAGAACTGGCAAATGGCCACATTTCATGGGTTTGTATGTGAAATTTGTGAAGTCCGATTTCCACATTAGCACTGAATTCATTACTATCAAGCATTGAAATAAGTGCACTTGATTGCCTTAAGCAAAAGAAACATTGGGTTCTAATCTCACCCCACTGTTATGTTTTTCATTTAAAATATAAATTCTAATTCTATTCTCATCTTTTATTTTCTATTATTTATTAAAAAAGAAATAATCACATAGATTATATTTAATTCAGAGCTGTACTACTTAGTTTTGTATTTTGGCACAAACCAAGTGATCAAATTTATTATTCTTCACTTAGCTGAGTCCAACTGATTCCTGATTTCTTTTTTTTTTTTTAATGGAAAGCGTACATGAAGGGACAGACAGAGACATGTTGAGGATGTATAAGAAAATGCAAACAGATAGAACAATCACTGTGTTATTTTAATAAATGTCAAAGACTTCTGGAGTCTTGTTTGCATTCCTCACCCTTCTAAACTTCAATGGAATATTGCATTGTTTTCCAAAATAACTGTCTGTTGTTACATTTTCATGCATTCTAAAAGCAAATTCTGCACATAAACTTAGCAAGTTCCATTACTAATCTTTGAAAATACAGATTTCAATGTAGAATTAAGTACACTAAGAAAGACACAGAGAGCCAGAGCTTTGTGGTTTTGCTCACAGTGACTAAGAAATTAAATCTTTCACAAAATAGGTAGAAGGAATGCCTCTAAAGTGAGAGGAATAAATTTCAGTCACTTCTGTATAGTAACGTACTTTTCAGTAATGTCTTACACTTTTTTTAATGAATGGCTGAAATTGATAATTTTCATATGAGAGTCAGAAAAGTGAGGAATAACAAACAACACGTAAAAAGAAAATCATCACCGCGAAGTAGAGACAGAGATGCAGGCTTTTCTTTCCTAACCAACCTGTGCCTTTACACTAGAACCATTATACAAGACAGGATCAATATGATTAAAAAAAAAAAAACAAAACGAAACAAGCAACAACTGAAAAAATGTCGAGTAATGTGTATAAACTGTATTATGTAGGGGGTTTTCTGTTTTGTGTAATGTTTACGACTGTTCACTTAATGTTTCACTAGAAAAAGTGATTTGTTAGTGTCAAGTAGAACACTTTTTTTGCAAAGATCTAAACACTTACGGAAAGTAAAATTATTTTAGATTTTTATTAACAGCCATAACATACCTAGTAGACACGAATGACCTATTTCCTGTCATAACTTATTAACTTTCATATGTGCAGAACTGGAACCATCAATCATTCAATTGAAATCAGTAGGACTACAACTTTTGTGTGATGTTGATGACACACACAGATGCTTGCAGGTCTGGTCCATAGTTAAGCTTCCTTTGTAGGTTTAGCTTACTGTTACAATGGAGTCTTACAATTTACAACACTGCTGTACCAAATTCTTTACTTCTTAAACCTCAACTTCTTCTGTTGTGAACATTGTCAAGCTCTACATCCTGTAATATTCTGCACCTTTTATGAGTTATGCTAATGCTTCCTTTTGGAACTTTAATATTTTATAATATATAAAGGAAATCAAATATATGTATATGACCCCTACAACGGGATAGACGAAACTCTCCTTGAAACATCCACGCTCAGAACCAGCTTAGCACAGAAGGTAGAGATGATAATGCAAGTGATTCTTACAACAGTTAGTAAAGCGTATACTTTAGATCCTCAACTGGAACGTTAAGGGGGGTGTTTGCTAACAATACATGTGCTAACACTGACAGATCACTTTTTAAAATAAAGATTGTCTGCGCGTTAAACTGTGTAAAACCGTTTTCCTGTTACAAGTCAAACGATTTACTGGACCAGGTTCAAGTTTTATTCTAAATATATAATTTTTTAAGTGTATCTAAAAGCTGTATTTTCCATTAATGTGTTTCTGCGTTGACTAGCTGGCTCCTTTCTAGAATATTAACTGTTTTCTGTATTTGACTTGTTGGATACAATATTTCAATTATTTTAAATGTGAAATTTCCAATTGCCAACACTGTATAATAAAATAAATTTAAAAAACCCCAAACAAACCACACTGTTCACTATTTTCTTGACTACTCTTTTGTTTTACAATCCCCAACAGATCTGGTACAAAGCTTTTGAAGTAGGGGAACTAGCTAAGGGGAAAAGGAAATAGAAACAACGGGAATACTCTATGAAAGTTAATGTTTGAAGGCAAATACACATACATGGCCCATCCCTCATGAAAGATGTTTCTATGGCAAACGCAAGGAAGTTCTGTGTTCAAATAATTATTTCTGTCCAACTTCCTCTGTGTCTTTGAGCAATCTTCCTACAGCTTCAGGGTCTGTTGCTATTTTATACAGGTGTTATACTGATTATTTATTTTTTTAAAAAACATGAATCAGATAACATATCAATGGGAACCATGTGAATACCTAACATACACAGCTGCATCCTGTGAAATCTTTCTGTAGTATCTGTTATGTTCATTTGTAGAAAACCTTTTGCACATGTTCTTGTAACCCAGCAAAGGAAAGGGAACCTGTTAGTTGGAACTGAAGCAGAATAAAGACTACCTCCTTACTTTCTACCAAAGAGCAGTTTTAATGCAATATGCAGAGCCAAACAGAACTTTGTTGACATTTGTTAGCTATTAAACTTTGACCAAATACTCCTCAAAAGAAGGATATAGTCAACATTTTGAAAAAGGTATTGAACAAATTGCTAAAAATTGAAGATAATGAAAAGCAAGGGCAATCTGAATTAGCAATGATGATCTTTTTCTAAGACACCTGCACTACTGTAAAACTTAAACATTTTAATTCAGAATTTCTCCAGTAAAATCTAATCTACCATGTAACAAAACCCTGTTATTGCATATTTAACTGGGAAAGATAAGCTATGAAAAGTAATAGTGGAAACAAAACATTGCTACTAACATTTGTCAGATAACATAGCATAGTGATATTTTCAATTATTTAATCAGATTTTCAGTGTTAGTTTTGGTAAATGCTTTAGGATGTCCAGCCTTTATGGGTAATGACTAGTGAAAATCAGTTTTGGACAACCATTTTGATTTTTAAATTTCATTCATTGTTTTTACATATGCTGTCATCTCAACATCTGCAATTTTAACAAATTCTTGGAAAGTGTTTTGTTCTTGAATAGTTGCTGGTCTTACAGAGACGCACTTGAAAACGTTCCTTTTTGCATCATATTTTCCCATGCATCTGTGCACTCGACCTCTAATTAGTCTTGGAAGCTCCCGGTCCTTCATCAAAAGCGTAATAAACAAATAAAAAAATTATACACCCTTCTAACATAAAAGCTTTCAAAATGTCTGGTTGTTATATATTAGTGGATTTTTGAAGACTACCTCAAATGCAGAAGGAATTTACATCAGCTTTTTTGCTATTATCAACTACTTAGAAGCTGAACTGAAAGTCCCACCTTTTTTGCTGAAACAGAATTCTGAGGATGCCCAAATAGTGACTGGATTATTGCTCTGGACCAGTTTGGGAACAATATGATATAAGCACCCAGCTTTCCTTTTACGTGGTAATTTTGTTTTATCAGAACAACGTGTTATTATCTTCCTAAAAGGAATTATAGCTAGCAGTGTTGTGTGATGTCTGGACACAGAATACTTACAATTTCGTAAAATACACATGGCAGACTCTCCTTTCCATCTCTCAGAAGAAAATTCTTTGCTCCATATGCTCCAGGTGTGACTGCAGAATCAAGTGTGCCTATAGCATTTAGCAAAAATAAATCATGATGTAAACATCATAGTAGTACTAAGTATGAGATACAAAGACACCATGACAACATTTACTACAGAAAAGCACTAAGATATATCAAGTCAGCATCAGCTTTCTGTGAGAACTTGTGCTGCCAGCACTGGAAGTTCCAATACAAATTATGGGCTTTACATAGTCTTTGAATAGTAAAATTGCGTATGATATCTCTCTAAACTGAGTGACCACACGTGGTTTTCATAACCATCACTGTAAACAGTTGTCCCCTTGTTAAGCAGAGCACACCACCATTTTCTTTAAGTTTTATTGATCTTCATATGCAAATCAACTTTAAGTATTTGCAACCTTGTCAAAATAATAGTTTTCTGAGATGCTACTACAGTGTATATTCTTATTCATCTTGATTTAAAGTTTAGTCATTTCAGTCTTTTGTCATGTTCATTCGTCAGATAATGTCAATTGAAACACAAAGTGAAACACACTAAAAGTCATCTATGTTTAGAAGTACTCTGGACTTGAACTTATTCCCAGATTAATTGCATTAAAAATTACTGTAAAACTGTACCTCCCTACAGAAGGTTCCTTTTTAATAGGAAAATGTATTGTAACACATTCTAAAAACAAGAAAAGAAAATAAACAGGACAGAAAGAGCTTATATGTTGGAGGATAACCGTATTATTAATTTTGCACCTATTTTAGTCACCTTTGATAGCTGAATGGCTCTCCCAGCAAGAAAATTAGACGGTGCTTATACCAGTATTTTCTGTTTTTAAGTATTTCAGCTATTGTTCCTACAGTTAATAACATTTTCGCTTGGCTGTTGTCCTGCCATTATTATCAGTTACAGCACAATCTACCGTGCTTACCTAAAACTTCAAATAATAGTGCAGTTTTATAAGCATATTGACTCCAGTGCCTCATACTTTCAATGACTGCAGATATGATTCGCAAAGAATTCTTTTTTTCTTTAATTTTTAATTGAGATGATGAAACTTCCTTTCAGAGCAAGATGAAAACTCAAGTTAGAGATACTGTCACACAATTCTAAAAGGCACATAGACATTTATGTATTATGTTAAATATCCAATATTTACATTAAAACTAAGAGTATTTGTTCAGACTATACAAACAACTCCCTGCCAAATTATATGATCATGCTGAGGAGTGTAGGTTATTATAGTATGAAAATCTCAATTCTAAGTTTTCAGAAACTTAAGGGTTTACACTAAGGCAGCTAGGACTGATGAAAGCCTCATCTTTCCACAGTTTTCTTTTTCTTTACTGTTTTCTTCATTGTATCTTCCTATTAACTCTTTCCATAAGTTTACCTGAGTTTTGCCTTCTGGAACACAATCAAATTGTTTTTCATTCATTTTATTTTGCTGAATATTGCGGTTAAACTTAAGTGCCAGACTACGGTCCTGCAGACTTCTTGAAACAGTGTTAGGTTCCACTGGCCATTGTCCTTTAGATGTATATGTTTGGCTTGTTTCTGTTGTTTTGATGTGCTGAGATGAATTACGGTTATCGAGGGATTTTTGCCACTGAAGAGTTTTCAAATCATTTGAAAAGCTCTCAAACTTTTGAATAATTCCACTACCAGATCTTAAATCTGTTGTGTTACTTAAAGGAGTATACTCATTTCTGTTCCAAACTTTAGTACTGGGATCCTTCTCTTCTGCCCTGCAGTACAATGTTAGACATAGTTCAGTATCACAGTATGTATTCTGAATACTCAGATGTGTAATTAAAGTATATAAAAGCAATCTATGTATTGTTGTTTTAGCTTTAAAAAGTCTGTTAAATATTCAGACTCAAAGCACTTGAGTCTTACACTTACATTTATCCATACAAGGGGCACTGATCACAGCTGTGCTTAAATCCAGCTGAATTCAATAGGCCTTAAAAGCTTGCTTAATTACCATCCTGCCCTGTATAAGGGATCTTTCCTGACCTAAGATTCACATCTTTTCCATAACTCTAAAATAAAATAAGCAGTTTCTTTTGAGAGTGGGATTTCCAAATTCTCCTACCACCATCACTGAAGAAATAATTTTACAACAAACTCTAGTGCTGACCTTATTATGTCTGACACCATTTTATAAAGGCAGCCCAGAAATTCCTTCCACCTCCATTCCCTTTTGCCTTTGAGGGCACTTGCCTGAAACATTCACTCTCTTTTTGCCATTGGGAAGGAATAGGAGGGAGGGAAGAGAGAAAAAGGACAACATTGCTGTAAGTTTTCCTGCCAGCTCTAGGCTTCTGAATCTGTAAGTTTTCCTTGGTTTATAAAAGCACAGAGTTCACAATTATATTCAGTTTTGATTAAATGTTTCGATATACCCCGATTGCCCTAATGTACACTGATAGGAACTTATTTGAGTCTATTGATAAATATGGTTTGAAAGTGGGCAAAACTTCAAGTAAAGGGGAATCTCAAAAAAATTACATCCAAGACCAGCAAAATTCAATCAACACTTATGGTAAGACTGAATTTTAGGCCTGATAATAAGGCTAGATATTAGGTCTAATTAATAGGCCTCACTAGGTACACTGGAAAGATACCTCATTTCAGTGGGTTTTGGCTCACAAGCACAATGGAATTATGATCAGTGATCATCTGAGAATGAAAAGGGTGTCTCTGAATGCTACAAGAATATGGAAAATTTAAGATCTATTTTCACACGAGAACCATTCTGGTTGAAGAAGGATAATAAAAATTAAAGACTTCACCAACCTGCAGGCATAAAAGTTTTTTCCAGCATTTGCCAAATTAGACTTCGATGCATTTGGTGGCTTCATAAGGGAAGGAGCCATCTGATGTTCTGTTCGGCTTTCAAAGATAAGTTTAAAGTATGAGTGATATAGTAGCAGATTTATTCTAAGACAGACACATGGATCATCGTTTGTGAAACAATTAGTATGCAAATAATAAAAAAAAAAAATCAATAAGCAACAAATAATCTGCTTTTACATACCCATTGTTTGCTGCTTTCTGTAGTTCAGCCACTTCTGGGTTTGCAGTTCCCCAGCCTAATTCTCAAAAGACAAAGGATTGAATATGGATACAAACCAAAAAGATTGAAAGGTAATAGGTCTACTTAGGGCTCCTACTCTTTATCTGCTTAATGTTCCACAAATAGTCTCACACAGGAAGGAGAAGGGGTGGGGGGAAGGGGGAATGTGATCCTTTGATATCTGTAATTCTAAGGCAACTTCTAACATGTAGGTTGCTTCTCTAGACAATGGTTAAGTTACAGACACTAGACTTATTAGCATAGACACTTTTACTTTATTATAAGTAAAACATAAAGAAAGTACTAAAGGCAGAATTCTACATCGTTCTTTCCAAGCAGAATTTGAAGAACAGAAGTTCTCGGAATTACAAGACAGACATCTTACAAATGTTTCTTCTTGTAACACAGGACTTGAATGTTGATTGAAATCAACTGAAAACAAAAGGTCAGAGTTTCAAGAGACTCTATTTAAATGCCAGTGCTACTTCATTCTCTAACACACAAAGAGTCAAACTCCCTCTAGGCACAAAATATAAAAAGCTCAATTGTATAGAGGAGAAAGAAATTTCCTGGAGGACATTTTCTACATAATGAACCTTTCAGAAATCAACATAAAGGATACATATAGTTCTTGATAAAGACAATGTCTAATTTAATAAAATACAATCATAAACTTAAGGTTTATTTGGATTTGGAGCCATTAAAAGAATAAAATATATCTTATTCACCGAATGATGTGGGAGAAAAGTCGTAAGTACGGGTCCCAGAACTGGTACCTGGCTCATTTTTAAGTGGATTTGAAGTGAGGGGCTGTCTATTTCTTTTTTTCTGATTGAACAGAGGTACAGGCAGACAACCTAAAATTAAAATTCAAATACTACTACTATACCGATAGCAAAAGAATACACAATCTACAGTTAAAATTTGTAAATAACATTACTTAACAATTATTTTACATCACCCATAAGAATTACATTTCATAAACACATACCAGACCAGCCATTGCCTCACAGAATTTATATTCCTAGCCCTCTGTCCTGCACAAAATCCCATGAATGAAACATTTCCCTTAGTCACCAGTCCCCTGACTCCATTCAGAATCTTGCCCTGTGCTGCAATAAAACAGATAACCCATGCAAGTCCTCTCAGGAAATGGGGGTCTAGGACTGAATACTGTATATCCTGTATGAACACTGCGTGTGTGTGTGTGTGTATGCATACATATATATTAAAAAAAAAAGCATAATGAGGTTTCAGTGGTAAAGCACAAAAGAATGGATGGTACCTGCTGTGCTGCGAGTCGAAATGTCAGCTAGATTCCTTTTCATTTCTTTGCTGTATCTTAATAGGCAACAATGTATTGATTACTCCAAATTTGCTGTATGGAAGTTAGATAAGCAGACAAAGTAAACTAATTTATGTTGTAAAGACATCCAAATTTTATGTGATTTTTATGGCAGTTTTGCTTAACTCTGTGTATGCAAGGACATGCATCACTTCAGACACAAGCTGCGTGAGCAGTTGTACTGAATTTAGAAGATCCATGGGTACACAAGTAACATGCAATTGTTCTTTGCAGATTAAGAGCCCAAATGATTACATTTTTGAAGTAAAAGTTGTATTGACTACTTCTTTAGAGTGCTGCAAAAGTACTGAATTCACTTCTGATTTTAACAGTACACGTACATTCAAACACGAGGAATATCTTTTAATTCCTTAAAATAGCATACTAATAGAAAATGCATAGTTATACATTGCTGCAAAGTGTGATGGCAAGGTACATGGCTTTGACTAAAAAACTGATTTAACTGTGCTGTGAAAAATAGCATCACGCTTCAAAAAATAAACTTTTCTGTACTTTATGGTACAGACCTAAAACCCTTAGCCAATTTTCTCACATAGAAAATACTTCACAAGTCAAAAAGACATTATTAACAACCAAATATTATGAGCAGAAAAAATATGTATCAGCTACAGGTCGTTTGCCGTATTTGTTTTCTGATTAATCTACTTCTATAGTAAATGTCTATACATTACTGTATACATTGAGGATGCTACACAGACTGTTGCGTAGCATGAGTTGCTGTTCTATCAAAGTTACTGGTGCATATTGCCTTTAGTGGCATATGCATAATACTGCATACTTGTGTGTATAAATAATATAAGACATTACCTCTACATTTATTTTGATCTGGCAGTTAACCACATGCAGCTATTAAAGATGTTGATAAGAATGAAGCACAAGTATCTAGCACAGCTAGACTAATAGAACAAGTCACTATTTCCGTGAGATAGATACATCAATTACATGCGTGACAACACTAGAGCAGCTTCTAGTTCATTGCTGTCTCACAATTTCAACTGTATTGCTAGCACTATGAAGCCTAATGGCCACCAGTAAGTGACATACTTGTAAAGTAAAAGCCCATAAACCTGACATTTCAGTTTATGAAGCCAGCTTTGGCGTTGCATAGGATTTTAGGCTCATATTGTTTTGCTTCCTGTCCTCTCTTGAAGATAAGCAACCAAAACCCAGAGCTAAAGCTGTAGAAAAAGAAGTAAGCTAAGGCTGGCGAACAGGAGATACCAGGGTAAGCCTCCGCGGTACTTCTCACAGCAGCGGCACCAGCCAGAGGCTGAAGGGGTCTGAAGTCCTTGCTGGAGTCGGAAGGAGAGGGCTGAGGTGAAGCCCGCCAAAAATAACGGACCAAACGGCCAGGCGCTCGCGCCTGAGGGAGTGAGCAAAGACCGGGAAGGGGCTGAGCGCGCGCTCCTCCCAAG